AGCTAAAGAAGCAGCTAGTGTTCCAACTTTTGTCCCTCATGGCCAGTTTTTCTCCTTCTCATTGGTCACTCCCACCTACTCTCCCACTGAAACTTCCACCTGTCAATCTCTACCCACACAAGGCAAATGGTTCTTGGACCAAGGAAAATATCTCCTTCCAGTCTCACAGGCCCATTCTATTCTGTCGTCATTTCATAACCTCTTCCATGTAGATTACAAGCCGCTAGCCCGCCTCTTAGAACCTCTCATTTCCTTTCCATCGTGAAAATCTATCCTTAAGGAAATCACTTCTCAGTGTTCCATCTGCTATTCTACTACTCCTCAGGGATTGTTCAGGCCTCCTCCCTTTCCTACACATCAAGCTCGGGAATCTGCCCCTGCCCAGGACTGGCAAACTGACTTTACTCACATGCCCTGAGTCAGGAAAGTAAAATACTTCTTGGTCTGGGTAGACAAGATAGGTATGGATAGGTAGGGTCCTTTCCCACAGGGTCTCAGAAGGCCACCACAGTCATTTCTTCCCTTCTGTCAGACTTAATTCCTCGGTTTAGCCTTCCCACCTCTATACAGTCTGATAACGGACCGGCCTTTATTAGTCAAATCACAAAGCAGTTTCTCAGGCTCTTGGTATTCAGTAAAACCTTCATACCCCTTACTGTCCTCAATCTTCAGGAAAGGTAAAACGGACTAATAGTCTTTTAAAGACACACCTCACCAAGCTCAGCCTCCAACTTAGAAAGGACTGGACAGTACTTTTACCTCTTGCTCTTCTCAGAATTAGAGCCTGTCCTCAGGATGCTAGTACAGCCCATTTAAGCTCCTGTATGGACAGTCCTTTTTATTAGGCCTCAGTCTCATTCCAGACACCAGCCCAACTTGAACTGCACTGCAAAAACTTGTCATCCCTACTATCTTATGTCTAGTCATACTAGGAGTAAATACTCAACTACTGGTAAATACCCTGCTGGTAAATACCCTGCCCTTGTTTACACTGCCGGTTTACACTTTTCCTTCAAACCATCGTAACTGATATCTCCTGGTTTTACCTCAAACCCCCACCCTTAAGTCTCTCTTAAAGTGGATAATCTTTGCTGACAGGGTACACTCTAATACTTTCACCCTGATGAAGTCCTATTCTTTACTTTTATACTCACTGTTATTCTCATTCCTGTTCTTATGCCACCCTCTACCTCTCCCCAGCTATCTCCACCACACTATCAATCTCAGTCACTCTCTCCTAGCCGTTTCTAATCCTTCTTTAACAAACAATTGCTGGCTTTGCATTTCTCTTTTCTCCTAAATCATTGCTGAGGCCTTGACTTACTCACTGCTTTAAAAAGAAAAAAAAAAAAAGACTCCATGTATTTTTAAATAAACAGTGTTTTTTTTTACCTGAATCAATCTGGCCTGGTATGATAACATAAAAAAACTCAAGGATAGATCCCCAAAACTTGCCAACCAACCAAACAATTATTCTGAACCCCCTTGGGCACTCTCTAATTGGATGTCGTGGGTCCTCCCAATCCTTAGTCCTTTAATACCTGTTTTTCTCCTTCTCTTAGTCGGACCTTGTGCCTTCCGTTTAGTTTCTCAATTCATAAAAAACCACATCCAGGCCATCACCAATCATTCTATACGACAAATGCCCCTTCTGACAACCCCACAATATCACCCCTGACCCCAAAATCCTCCTTCAATTTAATCTCTCCCACTCTAGGTTCCCACGCTGCCCCTAATCCCACTCGAAGCAGCCCTGAGAAACATCGCCCATTGTCTCTCTATACCACCCCCAAAAAAATGTTTGCCACCCCAACACTTCACCACTATGTTGTTTTGTTTTTCTTATTAATATAAGAAGACAGGAATGTCAGGTCTCTGAGCCCAAGCTAAGCTGTCATATCCCCTGTGACCGGCACTTATACATCCAGATGGCCTGAAGCAACTGAAGATCCAAAAAAGAAGTGAAAATAGCCTTCACTGATGACATTGCACCATTGTGATTTGTTCCTGTGCCACCCTAACTGATATAATATGTTCTCCCCCGCCCTTAAGAAGGTACTTTGTATGCCTATCTATCCCAAACCTATAAGAACTAATGATAATCCCACCACCCTTTGCTGACTCCTTTTTTGGACTCAGCCCGCCTGCACCCAGGTGAAATAAACAGCCTTGTTGCTCACACAAAGCCTGTTGGTGGACTCTCTTCACACGGACATGTGTGACAGATACGGCACCCACAGATACAGAGGGCTGACTGTATTTGCCCAGGCTGGTAAGAGGTGGGGTAGGGGATAGAGGTAAGGGTTAGCTTTGCAGATTGGAAAGGGAAGAGATTCTGCAGAAGTCTTATTGGTTTTTCAACCTCTTTTCTGAGTAGTTTAGAGTGGGGTGGTTGCTGACTGAGAATGTTTATGTCTGTTTGACAGAGTCAAGGTGGAAGGTATCCAGAAAAGAGAAGTACACACGGCAGCTCTTGGAGTTTTGACACCCCCTCCCTGCCAATCCAGGGCACTGTTAGCAGGGCAGTCACAAAGACTCTTGGGCCAGGCTGCCTCTCGGCACTCAGGCCTGAAGAGGTGGGGAGAGCAACAGCCTGTAGAAGTGGCCTGGCAGGAGAAATGCTGAGTTTGTCTTTCTGCCAGAGGCAGGCACAGGATGTACTAATTGCAGCCTGGTCCTCTGCTCTAGGTACACATGGATTTAGACTTTATGGAGTCTGAAGCTTTTGGTAGGATTGGCTGGACAAGGGAGTCCTTTTTAAGAAAGTCATACAGAATTAGGTAGGGACCCTCGGAAGGGGCCTGTGCAAGTGAAGGGGCCCTGGAGCTCAAGCTTCAGAAAAGGATACATGCAAGAAGAAAATAAAACAGGATGGCTGGGCACGGTGGCTCACGCCTATAATCCTAGCACTTTGGGAGGCTGAGGCAGGTGGATTGCCTGAGCTCAGGAGTTCTAGACCAGCCTGAGCAACATGGCAAAAACACACCTCTACTAACAAAACAAAAAAAAATTAGCCGGGCGTACTGGCACACACCTGTAGTCCCAGCTACTCAAGAGGCTGAAGCACTAGAATCACTTGACCCGGGGAGGTGGAGGTTGCAGTGAGCAGAGATCGCACCACTATACTCCAGCTTGAGCAACAGGGCCAGACCCTGTCTCAAAAAAAAAAAAAAAGATAAACATATTTGGTATGGCCAATGATGTAATCAGTCATGACTAGGAATCACCCACAAAACCCAAAAGGACAGTGTTCAGAGAGCTTCCAGGTGGGTGAACAAGAAGACTTCCATGCGCTGGGAGGGTGGTGCACCCCAACTCCACAGAGATGGAAACTCCTGTGCTGAGACCAGCTCAGCCGGGGAGACCCTAACCCAGTGGCGTTAGAGGAATTAAAGACACACACACAGAAAATCAGGGGTCTTACAGCCCTCAGAGCTGAGAGCCCCGAACAGAGATTTGCCCACGTATTTATTGACAGCAAGCCAGTGATAAACATTATTTCTATAGATTATAGATTAAAAGTATTCCTTATGGGAAACAAAGAGATGGGCTGAAACAAAGGGATGGGCTCTGGCTAGTTATCTGCAGCAGGAGCATGTCCTTAAGGCAGAGATTGCTCATGCTGTTGTTTGTGGTTTAGGAACACCTTTAAGCGGTTTTCTGCTCTGTGCGGGCCAGGTGTTCCTCGCCCTCATTCCGGTAAACCCACAACCTTCCAGCGTGGGCGTCATGGCCATCATGAACATGTCACAGTGCTGCAGATTTTATTTATGGCCAGTTTTGGGGCCAGTTTACAGCCAGATTTTGGGGGCCTATTCCCAACCCTCCTGTGCTCAGGACCCTTCCAGAGCTCACCCTCTGTATCTCCAGGTAGACCATGTCAAAATTGAATTGAATTATAGGAATCCCAACTGGTGTCTGCTGCAGAATTACTTGGTGTATGGAGAAAAAAAGCCCAAATATTTGGCATGAGAAGTGTTGTGTTAGCTAGGTGTGGTGACTCACGCCTGTAGTCCCAAAACTTTGGGAGGCTGAGGCAGGAGAATCACTTGAGCCTAGGGGTTTGAGACCAGCTTAGGTGACATAACGAGACCCCATCTCTACAATAAATAAAAAATTAACTGGCATGGTGCACACCAGTAGTCCTAGCTACTCAGAAGACTGAGGTAGGAGGATCACTTGAGCCCAGGAGTTTGAGACTGCAGTGAGTCGAGATCATGCCACTGCACTCCAGCTTGGGCAACAGAGTGAGATCCCATCTCAAAAACAAAACAACAACAATAAAAAACTTTATCTGAAGAATGCAAGTCCCAGGCCGGGCGTGATGGCTCATGCCTGTAATACCAGCACTTTGGGAGGCTGAGGCAGGTGGATCACAAGGTCAGGAGTTTGAGACCAGCCTGGCCAACATAGTGAAACCCCGTCTCTACTAAAAATACACAAAATTAGCCGGGCATGGTGGCGGGTGCCTGTAATCCCAGCTACTCGGGAGGCTGAGGCAGAAGAATGGCTTGAACCCAGGAGGCAGAGGTTGCAGTGAGCCGAGATCATGCCATTGCACTCCAGCCTGGGTGACAGAATGAGACTCCATCTGAAAATAAAAAAAAGAAGAATGCAAGTCCTCCTTTCGTTATCAGGCCCAGAGAGGCATTGAAATGTGACAGCGGGTTGGGTGCAGTGGCTCACACCTGTAATCCCAGCATTTTGGGAGCCCCAGGTGGGCAGATCACAAGGTCAGGAGTTCAAGACCAGCCTGACCAACATGGCGAAACCCTATCTCTAGTAAAAATACAAAAAATTAGCCATGCATGGTGGTGTGCATGTGTAATCCCAGCTACTCAGGAGGCTGAGGCAGGAAAATCACTTGAACCCAGGAGGCAGAGGTTGCAATGAGCCGAGATCGTACCACTGCACTCCAGCGTGGGAGACAGATTGTGACTCCATCCCACAAGCTAAAAAAAAAGATTACAAAGCCTATTAGCTGGGTGTAGTGGTGCACACACCTGTAATCCCAACTACTCAGGAGGCTGAGGCAGGAGAATCGCTTGAGCCAAGATTGCACCACTGCACTCCAGCCTGGGCAACAGAGTGAGACTCTGTCTCAAAAAAGAAATGCAACAGCAAATGACAGCAGTCACATCTCACCCCACCCCCAACCACCAGGCTAAATAATTACCTCTTGAAGCCACTTGCTATGTGGGCTCTAGACTGATATCACGTAGCCATAAAATGCCATATTCCAGACACCGTAACTCATACCCCATAGCTCAATAATGCATAGCCAATCACAAGCCAATGTTATTCCTGCAAACTACTAAGAACATTGTTGAATCACCCACTCCTTGTCAACCCTTTAGCCTTTTTTTTTTTTTGAGACGGAGTCTCGCTCTGCCGCCCAGGCTGGAGTGCAGTGGTGTGATCTCCACTCACTGCAAGCTCCGCCTCCCAGGTTCACGCCATTCTCCTGCCTCAGCCTCCTGTGTAGCTTGGAGTACAGATGCCTGCAACCGCACCCGGCTAATTTTTTGTATTTTTAGTAGAGACGGGGTTTCACAGTGTTAGCCAGGATGGTCTCGATCTCCTGACCTCGTGATCCACCCGTCTCGGCCTCCCAAAGTGCTGGGATTACAGGTGTGAGCCACCGCGCCCGGCCGTCCCCTTTTGCCTTTAAAGGTCTGCTTGTAACAAAAGCTGAACACAGAGCACACCCCAAGGCAACTTGAAGTGTGTCCCTAATGGCTGTCCTCACTCTTGGCCCAAATTAACCCTGTATATTGATTTTGCCTCAGCTTCTTTCTCTGGGTCAACACTAGAATGTCCAACAGCCAGTTTGGGGTAGACGAGAGGGCGAGCCCTCTGAGCACCTGCCCTGTTCGTGGTCTGAGTGGGTCTCAGCGGCTGGATGACTTGCTCTCCCCTCGGGCTGTGAAGTCCTCGGCCTCCCAAGGGCTGGCCTCCTTGGACATCTTTGAGGTCCTCCAGACTCCAGCAGGAAGCTTGTGGCAGGGGCGGCAGGGGGATGAAGGAACTGGATTGTGGGAAGTGCCTAATGAGTCAGCCAACTCTGTGGAGGGGAGGGAAGGAAACATGCCGTGGTAAGAGGATCTGCAAGCCAGGGATGGGTGGGAAGTGGAGCCCATGGAGGATGAACAGCTGGGCCATGTGAGTTTCCACTGTCTCGGGAACGTCACCTGGAGGTCTCTCCAGCAGCCTCCCCACCCCCACCCCTGCAGATTCCACAAGGACCAAGGGCTTCCCTGGACAAGGGCCTGGTCCTTGGGGTCTAAGGCAAGACTCCAATCTCCATAGTCGCCCGAGCTCTCTTCCCTGTTTGGGACTTGGGAATGGGACGATTTGGGAGGTGAAGAGCTGGGACTCCCTTTGGTGGAGAAAGCTTGGGTTTCAGCACTGACTTGGAAAGACCAAAACAAACTTTTGGTCTTTTGGCCAGGCTAGAGTGATTCTCAGGCGGAAAGGCAGGAAGGCATTTCCCTGCCTTCAGGTAAGGAGAGAGAGAACACATCCCCGCATTCAGGTAAGGAGAGAGAGAAAATTAACAAACTGTTGCTGTGGAGGGAGACAAACCCCTTGATAAACTCAAGAAACTGGTTCCAGGAATCCCAGCAAACCTGCCTGCAGCAGAGCACAGTGGTGGAGAGGCCTGGGGAGTCCCAGCAAAAAACACCCCACCTGCCGGGTGCGGTGGCACACACCTGTAATCCCAGCACTTTGGGAGGCCAAGGTGGGCAGATCACGAGGTCAAGAGTTTGAGACCAGTCTGGCCAACACGGTGAAACTCAGTCTCTACTAAAAATACAAAAATTAGCCGGGTATGGTGATGGGTGCCTGTAATCCCAGCTACTCAGGAGACTGAGGCAGGAGAATCGTTTGAACCCAGGAGGCAGAGGTTGCAGTGAGCCGAGATCACACCACTGCACTCCAGCCTGGGTGACAGAGCAAGACTCCATCTCAAAAAGAAAAAAAAAAGACGGCCAGGCGCGGTGGCTCAAGCCTGTAATCCCAGCACTTTGGGAGGCCGAGACGGGTGGATCATGAGGTCAGGAGATCGAGACCATCCTGGCTAACACAGTGAAACCCCATCTCTACTAAAAAAATACAAAAAAACTAGCCGGGCGAGGTGGCGGGCGTCTGTAGTCCCAGCTACTCGGGAGGCTGAGGCAGGAGAATGGCGTAAACCTGGGAGGCGGAGCTTGCAGTGAGTCGAGATCTGGCCACTGAACTCCAGCCTGGGCGACAGAGCAAGACTCTGTCTCAAAAAAAAAAAAAAAGACAAAAAGAAAAACACCCCATGAACCAGCAAACAAGCCAACAAAAACCAAAGGGGAACGACCGGGAACAGTGTCTGTAGCCTCAAATGCCTTCATACCAGTGACAGTGACACCCTACAGTGGGGCCCTGCCCCCAATCAACTGAAAAATGAGGCAGTGACAGTTGTGGGAAGCCATCAGTGGGAGGAGACCAAAAGCCTGGGGTGGATTTTTCTGCTTTGTTGAGATACAATTGACAAGTAAAATTATATATATTAAAAGCATACAACGTGATGATTTGGTATATGGACACGTGAAATGATTATTACAATCAAATTAATTAACACATTCATCACCTCCCATAGTTACCCTTGTTACCCTTTTTTTAAAAAAAAATGAGAACACTTAACAGGTACTCTCAAAAGATTGTTTTTTAAAGTTATTTTTAAAGGTTGGGATCACCTAGACTCTAATTCAAGTGACCTTATGGGAGCCCAGAAAGACAGGATTGTAAGCAGGTAAAGGAAACCTCCACAATTCTGTTTCTTGGTCGGGAGAAAGCCTGTCTTGAAGGAGGTGTGGAGGAGGCGGGTGCCAGCAGCCAGCTGAGGAAGAGCCAGAAGGTGGCAGTGTCTACCTGGGGAGGAGCAGTAGGCGGAGCCCCTGGTTGAGGCGAGTCCTTTATCACACCACAGCCAGGGCCAATCCTTATGTGCAGCCCCAGATTACTCCTTGGCAAGACACAGTCCTGCCAAGCCCTCCTCGCAGGCCTGTTTTTTACACTGGTCTGGCCATGAGGTAAGGTCAGGTAGGGACAAAGTGCCCAAGCATGACAGCTGCCCAGGCTGGGCCCAGTTGCACAGCTTGGGTGGCCTTAGCCTTTGAGCTCTAAATTGAATCTCCTCCTACTCCTATCCCATGGCAGTCGGGCCCCTGACATCCTCCCCACTGCTTCCAGGGTTCTAGAGGGCTTTCCAGTCCCCCTGGCCCCTGGCCTGCAGTGTTGACCTCCTGAGTCCCTGCCTGTCACTTCCTGGTGACGTCCCTCTGCTCTGTGCCCATCCTAGGAGAAAAAAAAAAAGTCCTCTTTCTATGCTTTCCTTTTTTTTTCTTTCGTTTTCCTTTTCTTTCTTTCTTTTTTTTTTTTTTTTAATGAGACAGAGCCTTGTTCTGTCACCCAGGCTGGAGTGCAGTGAAGTGATCTCAGCTCACTGTAACCTCCACCTCCCGGGTTCAAGCAATTCTCCTGCCTCAGCCTCCCAAGTAGCTGGGACTACAGGCACCCGCCACCATACCCGGCTAATTTTTGTATTTCTAGTAGAGACGGGGTTTCACCATGTTGGTCAGGCTGGTCTCAAACTTTTGACCTCCTGATCCACCCACCTTGGCCTCCCAAAGTGCTGGAATTACAGGCATGAGCCACCGCGCCTGGCTTTTTTGTATTTTTAATGGAGATGGGGTTTCACCATGTTGGCCAGGCTGGTCTCAAACTCCTGACCTCAGGTGATCCGCCCACCTCAACCTCCCAAAGTGAAAGTGCTGGGATTACAGATGTGAGCCACCATGCCTGACCTTTCTATGCTTTCTTGTCACATGAGATACAGCTTTTACTGAAGGCTTGGGCAATAGAGGGATGTACTTAGTAGGAAAACAAACCATTTCAAAAAGAATAGTACAGATCCTGTTCATAAAAGTCCTTTGAGTCCGGGTGTAGTGGCTCACGCCTGTAATCCCAGCACTTTGGGAGTCTGAGGCAGGAGGAACACAAGGTCAAGAGTTTGAGACCAGCCTGGCCAACATGGTGAAATCCCCTCTCTACTAAAAATAAAAAAATTAGCCAGGCGTGGTGGCATGTGCCTGTAGTCCCAGCTACTCAGTGGGGCTGAAGTAGGAGAATCACTTGAACCCAGAGGCGGAGGTTGCAGTGAGCTGAGATCACGCCATTGCACTCCAGCCTGAGCAACAAGAGTCTCAAAAAAAAAAGCCCTTTGGTGTCCCCCCCACTGTGAAATTCTCACTGGACACATACCCCCCAGGCTCTGACCTTGCCATTTTGTTTTCTGCCCCCGTCCTCCCTCCTTCATTTCTATGACCATCCTTCCGTCTCTTCTTCTCTTTTGGGGTCCCTCACCCCCAAGTTCCGGTTAACGTTCTCTGTAAAGCCGTTTGATTCCTCCTGTGTTTAAACATCTCCCTTCAACCATGTCCTTAGCACCTCCTCTTCCTCAACAAAAGTGGCTGATCAAGATATTTTCCTAAACAAAAACTGGTCTCACCCTGCTAAATGCATGGAAAACTTACCATCTGGTGTATATATTGGCCTCCCGAGCAATTGATTCGTCTGAGTCCACAGCTGGGACCTGGATCTCCTCTCTACCAGCTGCCAGGCTGAGGGCAGACTCAGGGCCCCAGGGGTGAATTTGTCAGGGCAAAGGCCTCTGTGGGCAGCCTCTTGGCAGCCTGCCAGTAGCCCCTTCTGGCAGCGTCCCATCTCTCCCAGCATCGCAGATCAAGCCTCAGAAGTGCAGGGCCTAAGGAGAAAACCCGAGAGTGACAATGGCAAGAGTGATCACCACACCCCTGGTGGGTGGACTCCAGGGGAACACAGAGGTGCTTGGGCCCAGAGCTGGTGGGAGAGGGGAGGTGATGGGAAACTGGACAGCCAGAAAGTCCCACTAGCATGGAAATTCACTGGGGGGCTGGGCACCCCTGGAGAGGCACTGGGAGTTGGGAGGATAAAAGGAAAGACAGGGCTCTCACTGCCAGTGAATAGAACAAGCCGGGAAGGAAACACACAATGCTTTCCAGGTTAGATTGCCAAGGCAGAGAGGCAAGAGAGGGGATGGAGAAAAGTCTTCAAAACTGCCATTCAAGGCCAGGCATGGTGGCTCTCACCTGTAATCCCAACACTTTGGGTAGCTGAGGCAGGAGGATGGCTTGCACCCAAGAGTTCGCGACCAGCTGGGGCAACATAGCAAGACTCTGTCTCTAAAAAAAAAATTAAAAAAAATTAGCAGGGCATGGTGGTGTACGCCTATAGTCAGAGCCATTCAGAAGGTTGAGGTGAGAGGACTGTGTGAGCCCAGGACATCTAGGCTGCAGTGAGCTGACATCACACCACTACACTCATTCAGCCTGGATGACAAAGTGAGACCCTGTCACAAAAAAAAAAGAAAAACACAGGCCAGGCATGGTGACTCATGCTCATAATCCTAGCACTTTGGGAGTTTGAGGCAGGCAGATTGCCTGAGCTCAGTAGTTTGAGACCAGCCTGGCCAACATGGTGAAACCCGGCCTCTACTAAAAATACAAAAAAATCAGCCAGGCATGGTGGGGTGCACCTGTAATCCCAGCTACTCAGGAGGCTGAGGCATGAGAATCACTTGAACCTGGGAGGCGGAGGTTGCAGTGAGCTGAGATCGCACCACCGCACTCCAGCCTGGGTGACAGAACTAGACTCCATTTCAAAACAAAACAAAAACCAAAAAATTGCTGTTCAATAAGCACTTACCATATGTCAGGCACTGAACACTGACAGCAGCTTTCAATTACACTGACTGACTCCACACCAGGCTTGTTCTAAGCAGCTGCTGTCCAATAAACACATAATGCAAGCTACCTAGGTAGTTTGTTGTTGTTGTTGTTTGGTTTTGGGTTTTTTTTGAGACGGAGTTTCACTCCAATTGCCCAGGCTGGAGTGCAATAGCATGATTTTGGCTCACCGCAGCCTCCGCTTCCCGGGTTCAAGTGATTCCCTTGCCTCAGCAGCTTTTTTTTTTTTTTTTTTTTTTTTTTTTTGGGATAGAGTCTCACTCTGTTGCCCAGGCTGGAGTGCAGTGGTATGATCTCGGTTCACTGCAATCTGTGCCTCCTGGGTTCAAGCAATTCTCCTGCCTGAACCTCCTGAGTAGCTGGGATTACAGGCATGCGCCACCATGCCCAGCTAATTTTGTATTTTTAGTAGAGATGGGGTTTCTCCATGTTGGTCAGGCTGGTCTCGAACTCCCAACCTCAGGTGATCTGCCCACCTCGGCCTCCCAAAGTGCTAGGATTACAGGCGTGAGCCACCGTGTCCGGCCTTTTGTTTTGTTTTTTAGATGGAGTCTCGCTCTGTTATCTAGGCTGCAGTGCAGTGGTAAGATCTTGGCTCACTACAACCTCCGTGTCCCGGGTTCAAGCAATTCTCCTACCTCAGCCTCAGGAGTAGCTGAGATTACAGGCACGCACCACCATTCCTGGCTAACTTTTGTATTTTTAGTAGAGATGGGGTTTCACCATGTTGGTCAGGCTGGTCTCGAACTCCTGACCTTGGGTGATCTGCCTTAGCCTCCCAAACTGCTGAGATTGCAGGCATGAGCCACTGTGCCTGGCTTAGTAGTTGTTTTTTAATTTACTAATTTACTTTGCACCATGGCAGAAAAGAGCATAGTTTTAAAGACTCTAGTAGCTGCATTTTTAAGAGTAAAAACAAAAAACCCACTGGTGAAATTATTTGTAATAATATATTCTATTTAGACTGGGTGTGGTGGCTCACTCTTGTCCTCCCAGCAGTTTGGGAGGCTGAGGCAGGCAGATCACTTGAGGTCAGAAGTTCAAGACCAGCCTGGCCAATATGGGGAAACCCTGTCTCTACTAAAAATACAAAAATTAGCCAGGTGTGATGGCATGTGCCTGTAATTCCAGCTACTCAGGAGGCTGAGGCAGAAGAACCGCTTGAACCCGGGAGGCAGAGGTTGCAGTGAGCCAAGATGGTGCCACTATGCTCCAGCCTGGGCAACAGAGTGAGACTCCATCTCAAAAACAAGAAAACAAATAATACATTCTATTTAACCCAATATAATCAACAATTAGTGAGTTATTTTACTTTTTCTTGGTTTTTTTTTTTTTTTTTTTTTTTGAGACACGGTCTCACTCTGTTGCCTAGGCTGGAGTGCAGTGGCATGATCACAACTCACTACAGCCTTGACCTCCCCTGGGCTCAGGTGATCCTTCCACCTCAGCCTCCCGAGTAGTTGGGACTATAGGCACATACCACCATGCCCTGAAAATGTTTTGTATTTTTTTGTAAAGTTGGGGTTTCACGATGTTGCCCAGGCTGGTCTCAAACAATCCACCCACCTCAGCCTCCCAAAGTGCTGGGATTACAGATATGAGCTATTGCACTTGGCTTTTTTTGTATGAAGTCTTCAAAATCCGATGTGAATTTATGCATACATCACATTTCAGGGTTTTTTTGTTTGTTTGTTTTGTTCTTTTTGAGACAGGGTCTCGCTCTGTCACCCTGGCTGGAGTGCAGTGGCACAATCATGGTTCACTGCAGCTTTGACCTTCCAAACTCAAGCGATCCTCCTGCCTCAGCCTCCGGAGTAGCTGGGACTACAGGCACATGCCACCACACCAGGCTAATTTTTAATTTTTTTTTTTTTTTAGAGACAGGGTCTCACCATGTTGCCCAGGCTGGTCGCAAACTCCTGGGCTCAAGCGATCCTCCTGCCTCAGTTTCTCAAAGTGTTGGGATTACAGGCGTGAGCCACTGTGCCTGGCCTCCCCACTCAGCCTCCCAAAGTGTTGGGATTACAGGCGTTAGCACCACGCAGGGCACATCTCAGTTTAGACAAACCACATTTCTTTCTTTCTTTCTTTCTTTTTTTTTTTTTTGAGATGGAGTCTCGCACTGTCGCGATCTCAGCTCACTGCAACCTTCGCCTCCCAGGTTCAAGGAATTCTTGCCTCAGCCTCCCGAGTAGCTGGGAGAGACAAGCCACATTTCAAGTGCTCAGTAGGTACTGTGGCTGATCCCGACTACCCTATCGGATGCGGCTAAGTGCTTTAGATGTGTTAGTCCTCACAACCATGCTTTTGTTATCCTCATTTTATAAATGAGAAAATTTACACAGAAAGTGCTTCAGCACTTTGCCCATTGCCACCCAGAAAGAAAATGGCTGAGCTGGAATCTGAGCCACCAAGGTCAGCCAATGGAGGGTCCACAGTCTGGTGTCCTAACAACTGTGCTATGCTGTCAGCTTCGCAAATCTCATCTCCCATAGGAGGTCATCAAAAAGCTACTTGCAGCTGGGCGCAGTGGCTCACACCTGTAATCCCGGCACTTTGGGAGGCTAAGGCAGGCAGACCACTTGAGGTCAGGAGTTCAAGACCAGCCTGGCCAATATGGTGAAACCCCATCTCTACTAAAAATACAAAAATTAGCCTGGCATGGTGGCACATGCCTGTAATCCCATCTACTCAGGAAGTTCAGGCAGGAGAATTGCTTGAACCCAGGAGGCAGAGATTGCAGTGAACCGAGATCACACCACTGCACTCCAGCCTGGGCAACAGAGTGAGACTCTGTCTCAGGAAAAAAAAAAAAAAAAAAAAAAAGCTGCTTGTTATGCTGTTTCACAGAGGAGAAACTGAAGGTAAGAGAGACTAAAGGATCTTGCCCAGTAGGTGCCACAGATGGGATTTGAACTTATATGGAGTGAAAACTTGGGAGACAGCAACCACATCACCTCATATCTTCAGGGAGGCCAGGCACGGTGTCTCATGCCTGTAACCCCAATGCTTTAGGAGGCCGAGGCAGGAAGATCTCTTGAGCTGCAGTGAGCCATGATCACACACTGCACTCCAGCCTGCATGACACAGCAAGATTCTGTCTCTAAAAAAATAAATAAAGCACCGGGGAGGGAGAGGCTGGACATGGCCACCCACATCTCATGCTTAAGAAGGGTGACTTTGAAAAGATCAAAGAAAAAATGACCCTGTGGCTTGAGACCAGGGGAGGGAAGAAGACGTCTGTCTGCATGATGTTCTGCACTGTCATTTTAGATGGTTAAGTCTATCAAATAATGCACTGACAAGGCATGATGGCTCACATCATGCGGTGGTACACATCCATAGTCCTAGCTACCCCAGAAGCTGAGGCAGGAGCATCACTTGATGCCAGGAGTTCAAGGCCGCAGTGAGCCATGGTTGCGCCACTGTGCTCCAGTCTGGGCAACAGAGCAAGAACCTGCCCCACAACAAACAAACAAAAACCCACACACAAACAGTCCGCCATAATTTATTTAAGCCCTCTGCTATTTGGAGCAATTTTTCACTGGTATAAATAGGCCTACAGTGAACATTCTTTTTTTTTTGCCCAGTCTGATCTCAAATTCCTGGGCTCAAGCAATCCTCCTGCCTCAGCCTCCAAGGTTCTGGGATTACAGGCATGATTATAGGCCACTGTAACTGGGCCACATTCTTGTAAATTATTTTTTCCAATAATCCAATGTAAGGCTGGACACGGTGGCTCATGCCTGTAATCCCAGTACTTTGGGAGGCCAAGGCAGGTGGATTGCCTGAAGTCAGGAGTTCAAGACCAGCCTGACCAACATGGTGAAACCCTGTCTCTACTAAAAATAAAAAAAAAAAAAAAAAATAGCCAGTGTGCTGGCACATGCCTGTAATCCCAGCTACTTGGGAAGCGAAGGCAGGAGAATCACTTGAACCAGGGAGGCAGAGATTGCGGTGAGCCGAGATTGCACCACTGCATTCCAACCTGGGCCACACAACGAGACTCTGTCTCAAAAAAAAAAAAAAAAAAAAAAAAAAAACCCAGCAGCTCACGCCTGTGGTCCCAGCACTTTGGGAGGCTGAGGTGGGCAGATCACGAGGTCAGGAGATCAAGACCAGCCTGACCAATATGATGAAACCCTGTCTCTACTAAAAATATAAAAATTAGCCAGGTGTGGTGGTGCTTGCCTGTAGTCCCAGCTACTCCGGAGGCTGAGGCAGGAGAACCTCTTGATCCCTGGAGGCGGAGGTTGCAGCGAGCCAAGATTGCGCCACTGCACTCCGGCCTGGGCGACAGAGCAAGACTCCATCTCAAAAAAAAAAAAAAGAAAAAGAAAAAGAAAGCAATAATCCAATATATAGGCAAGAGCCCTTACTTCTCTACTACTTACAGTCTGGTGT